AGAGAGAGATTTCTTCTCCTTCTTCTTCTGACCCTCCATAGCCACTACTTCCTCCTCCTCATTCTAGAGAGAGAGAGAGAGAGAGAGAGAGAGAGAGAGAGAGAGAGAGAGAGAGAGAGAGCAAAGAGCCCTTTCACATTATTCAGAAAAACCCTGCCGATACTTCCGAAGGCCCCTGCCAAATTTTAGCAAGGATCTCCTCGGCAAGAAGAGGGTAGTCGTTTGGCTTGTAGGAAGGCAATAGCAGGCAAGTTATATATGGTGTAGCTTCGAATGCAGGTCTGTTTTTCAGCAGTTATGGGTTACTGACTTACTAACTCGGCATGTGATTTTCATGGCTTCACTCAATTACTCACCAAATGTGGAAAACTAGAATGAATCTTCTCCTAGAAATTGGAACCATACGCTGCCATATGTTTTGTCTTTTCTGCAAGTGGTGTCGAGTGGAGCGGGCTCTTAGGCCACTGCACGTGAGAAAAGGAAAAACACAAAAACGAGAGAGCTACTGTAGTGTCAGTGACTCAGTAGTAAGTTAGTAACCCATAAATGCTGGAACACAGACCTGAATCAGAATCCAGAATATATTGCTGGCCTGCTCGTGTCCCTCCAGCATTTCGATGAACGTCTTTCCAAAGACATTGGACCCCTGCTGGAAAGACATTGGACCCCTGCTAATTCTCTGCTGGGGACCCTTCGGAAAAGAGACGAGATCCAATGAGGAGTACAATGTGGCCCCAATTTTATATTTTTTGTGCACACTGCACTTATAATTCTCAGAAGGGATGGGCACACTTGGCTACAACAGCCTGCCTGTTTTGCAATTTTTAACCGATCCTATTTTCGAACCTGCACCGCATCACGTACGCGCGCATGCGTGTGCGTGCACTATGCGGCGCATGTGCGCAACTTGTGCGCACGTGATGCGTCGCAGGTATGATTTATTTATTTAGATACTGAGCTTGCTTGGGACTTACTTTGTCTGGTCTGTTTTTGACTGTTCCAAACGGTGTTGCTTTTGACTTTTCCTTTTGTGCGAACAGGCGCTGATGCCAGTTCTGACCACTGGATTCCAGTTTCGGACATTGTAGGCGAGGTTCAGTTTCGTCCACATCTGGACTGGACCAGGCACTTGTCTGTAGTGCGTGGCCCGGTCCTCGTTCATTCTGGACCAGCCCTGCTACATCATCAGGGCCGCCTGGACGTCCGGTAGGGACCCAGCCAGGCCAAGTTAGGCCATAGATTGGGCTTTACATCGGGCAGTCCTGATTGCAGACCGAGGGGCAGCCCAGCCAGGCCCAGCGGTAGATAGCTGGGCCAGTCCTGCAGTTCGGAACAAGAGTGCTGGAGAACCAGTTGGGCGTGATGCTGGTGGAGTACAGCACCAGCTTGGGAGAGCTGTGCTAGAGTAGGAGAGTAGTCTGGAGTGGAGAGGCCGGTGGTGGCCATAGCTACGAGGGAGAGAGACACTTCTCTGGGCGACATAGCAGGGACTTCATTTCCATCTGGGACTGGTCTTCTTCAGCGACCTGCATCAGTTGGAGTCATCATCCTTTGTTGGTCAGTATTCATGGTCCTCAACATCAGCATCAGAGGGGGGCGAGAGAGAGAGAGAGAGAGAGAGAGAGAGAGAGAGAGAGAGAGAGAGAGAGAGAGAGAGAGAGAGA